CCTAAACATGCGTCGTATTTCCATCTCTCCTCATCGGGTTTGTTTTCCAGTCCCCGGATCATCCTTGTTGCCCTCCCCTGAACCCTTCTGAGCACTCTTGTCAGCATCTTTCTTCAACTGTGGTGCCCAGAATGGGGCTCAGGACTCTAGAAGAGGCTGAAGCAGTGCTGAGTAAAGGGGAACTAGTACTCCATGCAATTTGGAAGCAACGTATCATCTAGCCTAAAATAGCTTTTTCCCTATCTATATATTAATGCACCTGCAATTAGTATCTAAACACCACCCAGAAGGTCATCAGGGAAATTACAGGCCACGATGAGCTCCAATTAAGCCCAATGGTCATTTTCCTGTGCAAGCTTAAAGTGTGGATCCATAGAGGTTTTGTGCTGGGGGTAATTTTATGTTAAAACCAGCAAGAATAGGCCTAGCGATGTCTTTGATCAGCACACATTTCTGCAGCAAGGGACCTGCCCCCTCAAGATTTAGACTCTCTACAGTGAGAAATACATGGTGATTCTTCTAATTGATACTTCTTCCCTCCTATGGGAGAGAAGAATTAGCAATGCCAAGGTTAGCTGTTGAGGAGATCCTTCCTCAGTAACTGGAGCAAGTGCAGGATGGCTGTCCAAGCAACCTGGATGTTCTTCATTCGTGCTCAGGAGGAATACAGTAGGGACTTTGCTGACAGTGGAAAAGGCAATAGAAACGTGAATCTTCTATTCCCCATCAAAAGTGTTCAGAGCAATGCAGAGCACTTTAGAAACAGCAAAGAGAAGCATGATTTATTTGTTTTCTTATTATTTCAAAAGATTATGTCCCACAAGCTATAACCCAATTTTTGGCTCTCTGGGTAGCGTACATTCTCTAACCACTTTTTTTTAAACAGCAATTTTATCCAGAAGTGTGGGCTTTTGTGCATGGAGAAAGCAATGATTTACTTGAGCCCCTTTCAATGAATAGATTTCTTAAAATCATGTTTTACTCTGTCTAAAGCTAAATAAAGTTGTAAAGCTAATTTTCTATTTTTTCATGTTTAAATGGATAATTAGACTGTGTAATGGTTTGAATCAATCCAAACCCATGTTGAGAAATTATTTTCCTTATAATCATCTCTAATCTAAATGGAACAATATGAGTCAGCAGTTCTGGGGTCTTACAGAATGTCAATATAAGAACTAATTAAACTAACATAACTCCCTGATTGTTTCCCCTGATGGGGTAATTTTGTTCACTGCAATATTTCATTAAAACCTTAAAACCTTAAAACCTTCTGGAGTTGTAGAAGCAGGAGTTTAAAATCCACTTTATCAAATTCACTTGTACATCCATTATGGGCTGGTTCCTCAACCGATAGTGATGAGGAAGACATGGAAAATTAATTCAAGAGGGAGCTGTTAACACACCAAAACAAGAAATGTTGATCATCGCAAGTGACTGGAAGACAGAAGTAGGGGGAAAAGCAGAATCAGATGCGGAAGGATTGTGACCTGCAATATTTGAGAAGGAAGTAAGAGTTGCTTGGAAATTACCTGGAAAGTACAGGATGCAGACAGGATGCCAAAGCAGCATTCACAAATCCTAGAACATGAGAGTTGGAAGGAGCCAGGAAGACCAATATTCCAACTCCCAAGCTGCAAGAGGCTGCACTGGAGCTAATCTGAACAAGCGTAAGCAGCCAATATGGAGAATAATCCATGGCCCACATGTGATGGGCCTGTGAGCATGGCTTACCAAAAGATTTCCTTTTCCTTTTCCCATCCTCCATCCTGGGTCTTGTTTCCCAGGATGAAGGGCAGAAGGGGGCACTTAGCACCTCTCTGCCTCTGCACGTATTTTCTAACCTTCTGCTTCACGGACGTGCAGATGGCCCTTCGTCTTTGCTCTGCAAAGGGACCTTTCTTGAGAGCCGGCCTTCTTGCAAAGCAAGAGCAATTGAAAATGAGCTTGGTGGACCAGAATGGCTCATGATCACATCAGGTAGATGGAGAGAACCAGGTGTGTGTCCTAAGGAACATGCCCAGGTGGAGCAAGTGGAGGGCAGGGGAGGGGAGGGGAGGGGTGGGCAGTGGAGGCTTCCCACAAACACCACGGGACTCAATTACCTTTGGGCCAGTGTGGGTGCTGTGGCTGCATGGCTCCTTTGTACTTGCACTTCAGCTGGCCTTCTCTGCAGTTAGCCCCGCTGACCCTGGCCACATGTCCTCTTCTTATCTGCTCTGCGGCAACACTGGCTTTGGAGGAGGTGAGCAGAAGCAGCACTCAGATGGTTCTGGAAGCGTAGTTGGAGGGTCACACAAGGAGGAGAGACTCCATCCAGAATTCTCCTGAGTCAAGGAAAACTTGCCGGTAGCACGCTCATATATTTATTTACTTGGTTCAAAGCCTCCCCACGACTGGACACACACACAGAATGGGCAGCAATCCACAATGGCCTCTGGCTGGGGCAAGTTTATGCCTCCATATGTACACATCAATAGGCATAGCTTCCACAGGCAAGATCAGGCCATCCTTGGCATACTGCTGGGCCAGAGGAAAGCTTCTGTTCATGAAATCAGCCTGTGTGAATCCTTAAAATGTAGCTGCACTTAACCAGGCCCCATTCCAGAGAGGGCAAGTAGACCTCGGCAGATAACAGAACCACAGACCAAGGGCCCTTCACACCAACCCCCTTCCCACATCCTCCTCCCCATCTCTGGAATAGCAGCCCATCCTCCCTGCCTCTGTCATGGAATCGTCTTTCTGCTTTGGAATGCAGGCGGAACAATGATACCAGTGTAACTTTTCACTTCTATAACCTCTTAGAAAATGTACACTGTGTTATGTGCAACCCTGTGGTGGACAAAAGGATAAAAGGGCAAATGGAGGACTGCTCAGGTGCACCGTACTTGAACAATTTCTTGGCAGCCAGTTATTCTCAGAAACTAATCTAAAAAAGAAGACCTTCCCCTGGTGTGCAATTTGGACATTTTGCACAGAAGAACATAGTTGGCACCTCTGCCTGGAAAGAAGGGTAGTGTGGATTTCCAAGGAAAGAAGGAAGTGTGCGGAGAAAAGGAAGAGAGGAAAAGAGAGGGAAGCAGCAACACCCTTGAACAGGAGCGAGTTCTCTGGCATGGGCCTTTCCCCCCAACTCTGCAGGGCGCCCAATAAACACCTGGGCAGCTCAGCAACTGCACTGCCTTCGTTGCATTGTTATGTATACTGCCTATAGAATGTTCTGCCCAACAAACAGTCAGACAGACACATACTTTGCATCATCTTTATTATGATGATTTACACAATTAGTAAAAGACACCACAGCAAAGCATTCAGAGTTCCTAGAATGATAGAAAGATGTGAAATATGAAATGCAGCTAAGAGCTGAAGTGATGAAACTCATGGCAGGTGAGCCAAGGAAGATTTCCATGGGGGAAAGTCTCCAGGAGCTGCTGCAAACACCCTCCATATTGGCACCTGCTTGGTTCTGGCAGGATAATCAGCTTCCTGCTGAGCCCAGGCTGATCTTGGCTGAAGAAAGCCAGTCCTCATTAGAACCTCAGAGCTTGCCTGTGTCCTTTGCCACTCCCTGCTGGGTGTCCCAGCAAAGCACCCAGCAGCCACATCCTGCACCTCTGTTCACCTGAAAATAGTTTGCATATGGGGCACTATTCCGCAGGGCACTGGGCTTTGGCAATACTGTGGTGTTCTGCAGGTCCCTCTCTAAAAGGAGCTCTCAGCACTTCCACAGTGGTGCTTCAGTGCTTCTGGGGGCATCACAATGGGGGCAACAGTGAAGAGGTAGGGTTCTTGGGGTCTGCATGAGGTGCCATGCAAGGAGCTTGCCAATGCCCAGCACCCCATGATGTGACATGCCAGACACAGAGAGGAGGTTCCACAGCTGTGACACGGAAGCCTGACATGATGTCTCCAATCCAGAGGTGCCACAAAGAGGGCCGGGTCTTCAGGCCATTGGCATCAAGCCAGTGAAAGTGCCTTAACAGACCAAATGATGCTAGTAGGAGCTGCCAGTTCTTCCAGCTGGGACTTGTGTCTAACACTCTTAATGGGGTGGTCTTTGTCCAAGAAAGGTCCAAGAGTTAGAGAGAATCCAACGATACCTGCCTACCAAAAAGGAAGGGGCACAAACCAGTTTCATCAAACTTGTTTTCACATATTGCCTTCTTCCTTTGGTTTCTTTGATTTTTATGGGTCATTGCTTCAAAATTTCCACCAACCTGGAATATGGTACAGTATATTAATGTTTTCAATAAATACATGGAGACACAGATCTGGGATAGACTCCACTGTTTCAACTCTGATCCCCATTTTTCCCAGTCCCACAACCAATGTCCTCACTCCCCATGCCTGTAACCCACTTGCTTCCACCAGTTCTATCCAAAAGCTCAGCATCTTCACCCTGGAATGCTGCCCCACTTTCAAGCCACTTGTCCACCTTCACTGCAGTGTTGCTCCTGTTTGTTCTCTTGACACGGCTGGAAGCTGAGGGACTCCCTGGTATGAACTCTTCTGTTTGGAGCAGAGGAGAATTCCTCCGGCAATCTCCAAGCGGAAGCACCTGGGTGAAGTGGAGAGGCACTCCAAAACCATGTCCCTCTAGACACTCCTGAAGAAACCCTTTCTCCACGCCTCATATGAGCTAAGATGAAGCAGTGAAATGGGTTCAAAGAAGATTGTTTTGGAGACAGCTGTCTGGCAGTTCTTCTCCCTCCTGGTTGAAGGCAGGAACAGAGATGCAGTTGAACCAATTTTCAGGGTGGGTCTTGGACCCAGAGAGTGAAGTTGACCACAGGTCAAAGAGACCATTCTGGCAGGAGTGCCAGGACTGGATTCTAACACTTGCATGTACATATTCAAGGGAACCTTTTATACCACCTCTGGCCCTCAGGAGGACTTCCTAAATGTTACAGAGGGACAAAAATGCAAAAAGAGTTAAAAACAAAAACTGGTAATGACATCAACATAGCAAAAGAAATAGAAGAATGCCTGGGTTGCTGTACATATCAAATATACGCTTTGTTTTTCATCATGAGATGCTCCTTGGAATTCAGATCAGGCCTCAACAAAATAATGTAGCACTTGGGGAGGAAGATGCAGAACAACAGCCCAGCACCAGAAGCCAAGATGGAGAAGACCTGCACGGCCACCATGTACTTGCCCCTTGTGCTCAGGTAGGTGGGCACAAAGGACACCCAGACGCTGCAGAAGACCAGCATGCTGAAGGTGATCAGCTTGGCTTCATTGAAGGACCCAGGCAGCTTTCTGGCCAGGAAAGCCACAGTGAAGCAGATGGCAGCCAGGAAGCCCATGTAGCCGAGGGCAGCATAGAACATGACCACAGAGCCTTCGTTGCACTGCAGTATAATCTGTCCAGGCTGGGATTGCATGTCAGAGTCAGGGAAAGGGGGCGTGGTCCCCAGCCAGATGGTGCAGAGGACTACTTGGACACTGGAACAGGAGATGACAATGGAGTTGGCCAAACTCTTCCCCAGCCACCCCCTTGCCACATTTCCCGGCTTGGTGGCCAGGAAGGCCAACACCACAGTGATGGTCTTGGCCAAGAGAGAAGAGACAGCCACTGAGAAGATGATGCCGAAGGCTGTCTGTCGGAGAAGGCAGGTCACCTTCCTCGGCTGGCCAATGAAGAGGAAGGAGGACAGGAAGGAAAGCAAGAGGGAAACAAGGAGAATGTAGGAGAGGTCCCGGTTGTTTGCTCTCACTATGGGGGTTTCTAGGAACTTAATGAAAATTCCTAACACAAATCCTGTCATTAAGGATAGGGTCAGGGCTGAGGAAGCCAGGGTGACTCCTAGGTAACCTTCATGAGACAGGAAGGTGATAATCCTGGGTATACATAGATTACGATCCTTGTTTGGATGCTGATTGGCTGGACACTTGGTGCAATGCTCTGCATCTGGAAAGCAGAAGGAGAAATGTCGGGCTCACATCTTGGTAACTCTCATCATTATGGACAAGCACAGATATTTTCTGAAATAACAAGTGGTCACACACATTGCGTTTCTGAATGGCAGAACTGGACAGGTCAATTTGAGCTGTGGGAACAGGAGGTACCAAAACCTCTGGCTTCTCAATAAAAAGGAGTTTTGTTTTTTGTGTGTTTTCATTTTAGTTTCTCCCACCCCACTTTATACTAACCCACTCTGGCATTCCTTGGGGCAAGAAGCACTAGCATTTCTGAGTGGCTTTACTGCAGGAGTGGAAGGAGGAAGGAGGTTCACTAGAAAGAATGCCCCATGAGTTGGAGTTGCATGCCCCGGGGGTTCCTATGGGGATTGCTATGGGGGAGGAAGGGAGGGATATGTCATATGACCTGCACACGACAGTTCAGTGAAAGGTTTCCTGGATGCATAGGTAACGTGGGGATTTTCCACAGGCATCTCAAGTCGGATTAGGGCAGATGGGTGGAGAAGGGAACCCTTGCCCCTGGGACACAGTGGGGCATTAGCAGAAGTTTTGCAGTGCAACATCTTCTAATAGCAAAATAGGTCGCTGATATACTGGGGCAGTGAGTGATCATGGGATGCAGAGTGTGCTGAAAGAGATCTTGGGATGAGTGCTGTGGACAGCTGGAGGACTGGGGGGAGGGATGGGAAAACCACCCTTGCAAAGTACATTGGACAAGCACTAAAGATCCCTTGACAAGCCAATTTGCCATGGCGGAATCGCAGGGTGTCATTGAAATTCACACACTACTGTGGTATACCTATGTCCACCTCCTAAAGTTCTGCATTTTCCTTCATGGTCGCTCACCTTCCTGGGTGGAGATGGTCCCTTCCGCACATGGAATGCAGTCGTAGCAGCAAATGAGCTTTCCTTCCTGAGCTACCTTGAAGAATCCTGGGTGGCAGCTCTCCACACACCTGGACTGGGGCAGGGGCTGAGCACAGAGAGGGGGGACATCAAAGAAAATTGTGCAGAATGGGGAACCTAAGCTGGACAGGATAGGAGACGAGATGAGAGAAAAGACTAGATGGTAAGAGACTGGTAGAAGATAGGAAGGCACAGTTCCTGTGCCAGGGACTATCCCTGCTCCATTCTTCTTCAGTTTCCCCGCTAAGAAAGGGGCAGAATTGTACCTGCACTATCCCTAGAACTCAAGAAGGAGAAGGATGGTTTCATTACTCTGCCACATGAACACACCGATGCATCAAATCCAGATGCCCTGCATTAAAGCTCCAATGGCCTTTGATGAGGTTCTCCAAATGTGAAAGGAGCAAAATTACCAGAAATGCTCTTTGCTGGGCCTTGTCTCCTTCCTCAGGAAGATCCCCTGCTGGTCAAAATACACAGTAACAAGCAGGTTTAGCAACTGTCTGGTTTGACATGTGCCCTTTCGCAGTTTCCCCCATGGAAGATGTCATCACAGAGGATGTGGTGGAGCAACATCCATGTGATCTGTTGATGCCCCATGACTAGACTGGACCCCGTGAAAAAGAAGCGACTTACATTTCCTCCCAGGACATGCATTCTCTTTATGAAATGCACCTACTCAACCTAATGCTCATCAAGACATGTGAAATGCACGGCATGAAAGGAAAGGCATGGCTCTTCCTCACCTTGTTGAACCAGTTGGGCCACACGATGGCATCTCGGTCCAAGGTGAATTTGGGCCCAGATGATCGCTGCCTTTCTAGGCTTCCAAGTTTCACTCTTACAACAGTCAAGTTGGGAAACTTGACCCAGTTCACAAGGTTGAAATTGGCTGCCAGCTCTCCATTCTCATCCAAATACACCCCATCAACCGAATTATTGTGAAACTGGGGGTCTCTCAGGAAAGGGCGAAGCTGTGGTGGCAGAAAAATCAAATGCAATGAGGAAACAAGAAGCCACATCTCATCTCCCAGATATCTCTTGGGGTTGGATCCAGAGTCATGTGGGTGAAAATGTCTCCTATTAGGATAAAGGATTCCAACTTTATCTATGGATACCCTTGGTCTGCTTTGGAATTGGGAAAGCAGGCACTATTGGGCCTACAAACTTCTTTTCAAATGCTGAACTGATTGCAGCTTCAAAGGGAAAATTTCAGGAATCCTTCTGAAGCAGCAGAGTATCAGTTCTGCAGCAGGACTGCAATCCTTCACAAACTGACCTGTGATTTCAGGCAGCTGTACTCAGGAGCAGTGTAAATATTAGGATCAGCATGTGACTGGGACAGAAACAGAAGCTTGCTTCATACACTGAATTAAACGACTTCATTAAAGAAGAGAAAACTTAAGGTCCACCAGGGCATGCAAGGTGGACAGAGGATGAATGGGTCAGGCCACTTGAAAAGGTACACACAGGGCTTGAGTATAGATTGAGTGAGGGTTGCCATTCAAATGTGGATTATGGAGGAAGCAGAGACATCTTGTGGTCTGAACTGAGCCAAGAGAACAAGCTGTGGCTTGTTCATCACAAACAACCCCCAAAGAAAAACACTCATTTATTGGTGCATTGTGAAGTGTAGGTTGCCCGCCACAGTAGGCCATCACAACTGGGTCCACAGAGCATGATAAGCCATGTTTCAGGGAAAAGCCACCCTTCAGTTACCAACACACCCAACTGTTGAGAGTGTGCTATCTTGTCCAAACTCAATCCATCAAGTAGCTAGAGGACTGTAAGCAACAGCCAACAAAATCCTCCCACTTTGCATTTGGACTCTTTCAGAGTGGCAAGATGGGGGACATTACGAGACAGAATGGCTTGGAACCATCACTGGTGGCATCAGCAGGTGGATTGCATGCTCTGAACCTAGAAAGAGAGCAGCACGGAGTGCATTTCAGAGGAGTTTTCCTTACAAACATGCAATGTCTCCCCTCCGTTTCTCATACCCTCCACCCACGGCAACAATTCTGGATTGAGCAACTCATCATCAAGTTCATCTATGATCTCCAAGGCTGGAAAGGGCATACCTGCCATGGATGAAGCCTGTGAAATTCCAGCCTGCCTCCACCCTCCATCTCCACCTTCCTGATTCTGGAGGAGAAGGCAGAGTCCATGGCATGGGCCACCGCCTGGATGGTGCTGTAAGAGAAGTAGCTGTCCAGGGACAGGGCTCTCTCCCCATCTTCTTGGGAAAAGGCCCCCAGCTTCTGGGACTCTCTGCATCTTGTCCACAGCTTCACTGATGTCACATGCTCAGAATAGGAGCAATTAAATGATATATTCACAAAGTCCTCCATATCTAAGAAGAACTCTTCAGAATCTTCATAGTTTGACCCTTTATTTGTCTGGAGGCTGAAGGAAAAAAACCCATGGAAATGTTCCAAATATAAAGCTATATATTTCAAATCCAGGGTAAAGTCCCACATAGCTGTGACAATCCAGACTTTCCCAATATTGAGTTTCATCCTTCTCTCAACTGCTAGTTGAACAATGAATATTCCATAGAGGAAGGAACTGGTCTCTGCACAATAGATATAGACATTGATTTTTCCCAACTTGTTCAATGTACCAGCACGGAGCACTAAGGAATCTGCTTTCACTGCCTCGAGGGTTTGTGACACAAAAACACAAATGCCATTCCTGAGGAGCTCAGGGGTCAAGGATCTCATAAACTTGTGGCCATTATCGGTGTCTAAAGCAAGGAGACCAACCATTGTCCACTTGAAATGCAGCAGCAGTTGGATGATCCCCAGGTACTGCACCCCTTCTTTGGGGACCATCCGGAAGAGAAAAGGGAACTGAGTTTGATCACTCAGAACCTGAGAAGCAAAGGCATAAATGACCTGGGAAGGAATGGAGGAGACTGAATTTCATGCAGAACCAAAGTTTCAGACTTCAAGTGATGAGATTATATGTAATCATACATATAAAACTTCCTCATCCCAGGGAAAGCAATACTTTCTATTTACAAAACATCAAGGTTTCGGGTTTCCTAGTTGTAAAACACTGGAAAAAATGGATAACCTAAAAGGTCAGAATTAGAGTTGGGATGGGCCCTGTTGGAATCCGCCCCTCTAGTAGCGACACAGTTCTTCTCATGGTGCTCCCAGGGGAGCTGATGGATCCAGACCTGGACATGGATTCCCCACATTTCCCCTCTCTGAACTATGGAGCAGATCCTGAGTTTCCATACTGGAAGACAGCTCATGACTGTTTGTGCCACTTTTCCAGTGGTGCAAGCAGGCATGATTCCCGCCTTGTTCCTGCTTCTTGTAGTCCAGGACTGCTCCTTTCCTATCTGAGGTTTGTGAATCTGCATGAAGTAGGGGAGAAAAGGACCAACAATGTTCACTACTGCGTTTAGTGTCCACTGTGGAATTTTCCCTGCATGCAGAGACAGCATGGCCCGACCAGTGCCGTATGTGGCCCTGGAGCAGGCACATGGGTCTTTTGGACTGTTGCGCCCTGTTGCTGATACATGCTGCCTGTCTAAATGGGGTGTGGAGCACCCATTGAAGCTCTTTGAGTAACTCTTGATTCCTCTAGAGAGAACACGCAAGGAGGTCAACTGAACCTGAACAGGCTTCCCAGCCGTATCCCACCTGTGGGACTTTGTAGATGCCCAACATGTTTGAAATCTGGACAGAGTTGTCAGAGTCCAGTGCTTCAAGAATAGCCAACCAGTGGTTTTTCCTTCCACAGTTGTAGTTGGGAACATTGGTTGGCCCCGCTGAGAGCAGGTCTACAGCTGCATCGGAAGTCATTCTGGCATCATTATAGGTGTCGTACACACTGTAGCCCAGGGAGAGGTTAGGAAGGAGGCTGGGATTCTGGTTGATTTCCTGAGTGGCAAACAGGAAGGAGAGGATCTTCTCATGAGATGTGCTTCCTGCCCTGAAAAAAGAAAAATAAGGTGCGTCACCCACCTGTGTCCCTTCTCCATATGGCTTGGCAATGGTCAAGCATGGTTTGCTTTTGCAAAGACTTAATAATTTGGATGTCTCTCTTTGATGTGGAGCTTAATGTGAGGATGCTTGAGAGTAACTAAGAAGCTAAGAGTGAATCAGTTCAAAATTAAACTAAATGTGGTGTCAAAAGATGATACCCCCAAGGCTAAAAGTCACTAGGTGGGCAGAGCAAAGGACAAAGATGAAAAGCCCCGATGCTGGTGACACACCTGGACCAGAGCCACGTGGAAGCCTAGACTGACTTGCACAGAACTGAAAGGAGAGACGGATGCTGCACAACACAAACGTTTGAAACATGGGACATGAGCAGTAGGAAACAGGGCAAAGTGGAAGTGGCAAAGTGAGACATGGAACTGATAAGCCCTGAAGTACTTGAAGTCAGAGAGCAAAAGAGGAGCAGAACCAGTCAGACAACTTTATAGAAAGAAATACATGTGGGCATCACTAGATGGACCATACAGAAATCAGGCAGACTTCATAATTGGAAGCAGAAGGTAATAATAACGTGTGTTACCAAAATCATTGACCACGAGCCAGATGAAATGTGAACTGAAACCAGGGACCATGAGGGACAAATGCCAAAACATTTCCTGTGGCAAAAAGAAAGAAATTCCTAGATGGATGACAGAAGGAAGGCTCACTATTGCCATGGACAAGTGAGGAGTCCAAGTAAAAGGTGACAGCAATGGAGTCAGAATCCTGAATGGAGATTTTCAGCAACTAGCAAGTAGAGACAAAATGAAGTATTATGATGACCAGTGCTAAGAGATAGAGCAGAATGACAATAGGGGGGAAACAAGAGACCTCTTCCAGAGCTTCCAATAAATGAAAGAGAAAATCAAACCTCAATTGGAATGGCTGAAAGACAAAGGGGGTGGGTGGTGGTGGGGGGCGCAGGAGAGACTACCTGACCAGGAAAAAAGAAGAGAAGATGGAAACAATATGCAGAAGAGCTGTACAAAGGTGAAAAAAAAGATGACAGACTGCTTCAAAGAGGAATCTGCTGAGGAAACACCTGCAGTATTTGAAAGTGAAGTGAAAGCTGCTCTGAAAGGACTTGGAAGGAAGAAGGAACCTCCAGTGGAGAGGATGCCAGCTGGACCCCTCCAACTTGCAGGGGCATCGAAACATAGAGATCAACTCCTAACATGTGTATTCCAGTAAATATGGGAAACAAAGCAATGGCCTACAGCCTGGGAGCATCCAAGATACATCCCAATCTCCAAGAAAAGAGAGACCAAGAGTGCAGCAACTGAAGGACTATCTCATCAATCACCACGAAAGCAAGCTGATGCTCAGGGTGCTGAAACACAAAACTTCACCCTGTACCAACTGGGACATGCCTGGTGTTCAAGCGGATTCTGAAAAGAGGCCATCGAGATCCTTTTGCACAGGTACCTTGGCTACTCAAGTGCAGCAAAGAACCCTGAAAAAGCAGATTTGTCACAGAACCATCTCTTTATTTTCCTGCAATTAAACTAAAAGATTCTGAAGAGCTTCAGTTGCCACCTTTTATCCAAACCGAAATCCCATACTGTCAGCCCCTTCAGGGGCTGATTTTGGGCAGCTGATTGTGTAGAAGTACGAAGCACGCTCCAGTGCTGGGATTCAGTACAGCTTTCCAAGGCAACTGAAAGCAAAAACTCATGAAAGGACAGTAGGAAAGGCTGGATTCTTGGGGGACACTCAACAGCCAACCCCTCCAACCTGGGACCCACCAGTTGTCCTGGATTCTGACCCAACACGTTGCTGAGCTGCCTTCTCAGCCCAGCTGCCTCTGTTGGAAAGAGCCCAGATGAACACACGGTGTGTTCACATGGCAAACAACCCAGCAGGTCTGGCTGCTTCACGTGAATCCATGCAATGACTTACCGAAGCCGTTGATTAGAGGCTGGCTTGTTGAAAGAGTGTGGAATGAATTGAACACGCTCTGCAGAGATGCCCGCACTGATGACATAATCGCCTGGCCTGTAGTAATTCTGAGGGTGAGCTTCGCTCCTTTCCCAGCTCCAGGGGCACCTGGCCTTGGACATCCCCCAGGAGGCCTCTGGGTGAAGCAGCAGCAGCAGCAGAAAGAGCGGCGTGACTCTTGGTCTGCCAGTCACAGTCTTCAGCCTGCTTTTGTGGCTAATTCGAAAAAGAATTAGAAGTACCAGGATCTCCCTTGCAAGCACCAGACCCTGCAGCTTTCCAAGTTGAGATGGAGCCTGGGCAGCCATGACTTTGCATCCAGAGGGGTTGAGAAGACTCCCCATGCACTGAACCTTCCCCCAAGCACTCAGTGGCACAGGAGGCATGGATGCACCTTCCCTTTTGCCTTTGCACATGCATCAGCAATTCACTTTGCTCTTGAATCAGTTGTTTCCACCAGTGGACTCAAGGGAGATCTGTCATGCTGGCCCATGAGGATCCCATGAGGCTGAGCAGGAATAGCAGTAAATCACTCTCATTTTCATAACTGTATGAACATCTTGGAACATCTTGATTGATCTTGATTGGAACATCTCTGAAACTTTCTGAAAGTTTTGCTCAGTGCCATGGGCAGGGACGCAGCTGGAGAGACACACGCTCCTGAACACTCCCTGATGCTGCTCCTCTGAGGCAACCAGAATCCAGGGACTCTTTTGCATGTGTGTCCTGCAATGAGCCTGGAAGGTGGGACATTCTGCTCCATGCATTTGTAAACTTTTCCCCAGCATGGCACCAATTGTCTGGTAGGATCTCCTAGTTAGAAAGGGAAAGTAGCCCAGGACAAACTGTTACCCTTGAATTTGTTCCTCTCCTTTAAGGAATTCACCCAAGTCCTCTGGGGGTTCAACTCAGAGCATCTCTAACAGGTACAACTGCCATTTCCATGGGACTGAATACTATCCTCACTGTTATCCAGCCTGAGCTCCAAGGAACGTCTCCAAAACTTTTCAAACTCACTGTTCGGTTCCATGTGCAGGCGCACAACTGGAGATAAAATGTATGTGATTGAGCAAATGCCCCCTTCCAATGCCTGCCCAATGCACGCCATCAAGTGCTGATAACCTTTCTCCTTCAATATTTCCAGTGCTGGCACCATGTTTGCTCACCTTGATGTGTGTGCTTGGTCTGTGTGTCCACCCGTTGGATCCAGTGCTTCGTTGGTTAATTTGAGCATGCACATACCCAAAAACATAACATTCCCCCTACCTGACTCACAAAATTAAGCAGAGAGAGCTGTGTCAACCATGGGATGCTGTGGTGATGAAAGGGCTGGACTGGGGGCCTGGGAATCAGGCAGCTAGTCCCCTCCTTGTCCACAAAGCTCACCTTGTGATTTGGGGACAGTCACTCACCCTCAGCCAAATGTACTTCACAGGGTGGTCGTGGTGCAGATAAAAATGCAGTGGAGGAAAGCCAGGCAAGTCACTCTGTGTTCCGTATGGGTGGAAACCAGCAGGATAGCCCTCCATGGTAGTGATGATGAAAATGGACCAATTGTGAGCATTATGATGAATGGCCTCCCCAGTGTGAAAGTGGCAAATATCATGCACTATCTTACTGTGTAGATACCACCCTGTTGCGTGGTGCTACCAACAATGAGGAGCAATGCATTCATGAGTCCCCATGCAAATAAGCTCCCTTCTTCCTGCCATGAAGGAGGTTGGAATTCAGAACCGCCAAAGTGGCTGTGCCTGAAATGCCACCCATTTCTTGTGCCGGCCCAGCTAGACGGGCACAGCCAAGGAGTCCTGGTGCCTGCATGAGAAGGTGGTCCAAAGTGGAGGCAGTCAGAGGTGTTACACCCTGGAGAACTGTTGGGCTCTCCTGTTTCCACTCACACTCAGGGAAAATTTTGTACCTTCTTCCCAAGGGACAAATTCCCCCCAAGTAGGATGCTTTACAGAACATCAGAGCTCCTCCTCAAGTTCTTTTCACAACTGATTTCATTTTCACTTCCCTGTGTTTTTCACCAGACCAAACATCTGGTTGTATGAAGGCGGAAAATGAGTCCATCCCACAAACTCAGCTCTTCCCACAACATGGGACATAAAGGATCTCCCAGAAAGTGTGTCTTTGTGTACTTGATGGTGGTCTTGGTGGACTCCACTGAAAACAACAGAAAACAACCATTCTCCTCCTCCTGAGAACAGTTTCCTCATAATGTTGGAAAAAGCAGTCAGTCCCATATAGACTCAACAGGAGAAGGTGCTTCTTAGTAAACAAGAGGAGCAAACTTTATTCTGGAACAAAGGGAACCTTAGCAAATAGGAAAAGCTGAGAGGTTCCCATGAGAAAGGGAGCAGTCCCTATTATTATTATTATTATTATTATTATTATTATTATTATTATTATTATTATTATTATAACATTTCTATGCCGCCCCTTGCCAAAGCCTCGGGGCAGCTTACAACACAATAAGATACACTCAAATACAATAGAACATAATAAATTACCACTTAAATACAAAAATACACTGAGATACAATAATATAAAATTGAAACTAACAGTATAAAATAAGTAAATAAAGAATATAGGAGGAGAAAAGAGAAGGAAGAAGAAGTTGTCCTGGCCAGATCATATATTTTAACAATTAAAATGATGTTTAAATAAAAAGGTCTTTACCTGGCACCGTCGTTACTGGTTTTTCGGTGCCAGGTAAAGACCTTT